CCCCCATGTCTCCTCAGGAGCGGCCCCCACCGTATCTAGCTGTTCCGGGACATGGTGAGGAGTATCCGGTACCTGGGGCCCATGGCAGCCCCCCCAAGGCTCGCTTCCTCCGGGTCCCGAGTGAGCATCCCTACCTGACCCCATCTCCTGAGTCCCCTGAGCACTGGGCCAGCCCCTCGCCTCCCTCACTGTCAGACTGGTCTGATTCCACACCCAGCCCAGCCACTGCCAGTAGGGCCACAGCCACGGCTGCGGGGACACTTCCTGCCCAGCCACTCTCCCTCTCCGTCCCTGGCCCCCTAGTTCAGGCTCAGACCCAGCTGGGGCCCCAGCCTGAAGTCACTCCCAAGAGGCAGGTGTTGGCTTGAGGTGCTCCTCAGTTCTTGGGGTTTGGGCAACTGAAGAGACACCCTATCCTGATTCTGTTCTCCCCCATTTTCCTTTAATCCTTTTCATTCTCTTTTCTCTTTTCCAATCCCCCTACACCCCCTACCCCTGCAGTGTGACTGACATAGTTTACCAGCCTAGGGCTTCAATCTTCCCTTATTTGTAAGGGGTTCAGGCTGACCCCCACCCTTGGGTCTTGTGTTGAGTCTGGGACCTCCTCCTGTTCTGCCCTCCTCCTACTCTCCAACTCACCCTTCCTTCCTTTCTTGCCTCCTCTGGCCTCTGTCACTCCTCACACTCTGACATGAGTGGATTATTATTTTTTTTTTTACATTTTGTATAGAAACAAAATTCATTTAAACAAACTTATTATTATTATTATTATTTTTTACAAAATATATATATGGAGATGCTCCCTGCCCCCCTGCAAACCCCCCAGTGCCCCCATGGGGCTGAGTCTGTGGGCCCATTTGGCCAAGCTGGATTCTGTGTACCGAGTACACAGGCATGACTGGGATCCTGTGTACCGAGTACATGACCCTGGTGTGTACCAAGTAGTCACCCTTGGGCGCACCCTCTGGGGCCAGGGGTTGGCAAGATGTGGGAGCTTCCTCCCCACCCCACGTCCCTCACTTCACTGCATTCCAGATGGAACTTGTTCTATAGCTTTGCTGGGGAAAGGGCTCTTCTATCTCAGAGAGCCCACCCCCAGATTGTCTCCCCACCCTTGAGCCTGGGCCACCTTCCTTTGGGAACTTGGGGGTGGGTGGTGGGAACATGAGGATTAGGGGAGATATGTGCATTTCACTTTGTGTCCCTGTACAAATGGGACTGCAAGATGGGAAGGAGCTGCCTGAGTGGCACCTCTCCTGGGACTCCCCTGGCCCAGTGCCATGGCAGAATATAAGTATTTTTTGGCTATTTTTGTAATATGGCTTCTGATCACAATTTCTATGTAGCTAAGTTCCCAGGCCTTTCATTGTACAGCCCCCACTCCCCTCACCATCTAATAAAGGAATAGTTAACACTCAGTGTCATTGATCTGTGTCTAGATAAGGTGGGGGAGTGATAGTGGTGGATCTTCTGTCTCTCCAAGGCTAAGGAGCTCCCATCTTAGGTTAAACCCATTTAGCTTGCCTACCCGCTTGTGTTTCTTCTTTTGATTCAGTCAGATTTGCTTGGAAACATTGTTTAATGGGAATGCTAAGAAAGCTGTCAGTTGGTGGAGCTTTTAAGGTCACCAGCAGATTAAGAACTATGGGTGACCAATTTGGAGTGGTAGGTACGTCTGCAAACAGCAGAAGAATGGAGCTAGTATGCAGGGAGAATCAGAGAAAAGTGCTCCAATGGTTCTAGAGTTGGAAGGCATGAGTATCTTAGTTTCAGAAGTATCAATTCCAATTAATTGAGTATTCATTCCATTGACATCACAGTTATTTTTTCATTGCCTTCTAAGTGCCTGATGCTAGTTTTGCATGAAAGTCACCTCTACTTCATGTTCCCTTGGGGTATGGAGACAATGTTGCAGCTCTGTGCCGGGGTCCAACCCCAGCGGGTCCAGGGGTCCCCAAAGGTGTGGACAGAGTCGGTGAAGAAGGAATGACACAGAGACAGCGTTCAGTTGATCAGCAGCCTTGCCAGGATCTCTAGCCACAATCTCCAGCCAAGTTC